ATATGCGCAGCTCATGGATGCCAACTGCCTAATTTTCAGTCAGAATAAAATGTTTCTGTGAAAGGTATAGCAACATACATAACAATCTGTGAATTAATCAAACTTACATAGTCTTCATAAAACAATATATATTTTAGTGAAGAGTCAGACAGATATTTGAAAGTTAAGGATTATTTGAATAGTTGACCTAGAACTCTATAATCAGAAAAAGAGGTTAATTATTCCAAGAACAAACTTTCAAGATTTCAGAAATGCAAAAGCCACAAGAAGGGTCAAAGAGAACGGCAACATTTGAATCTGTGCCATGCCAAGGTAGAATAAAACAAACCACATCAGGGAAGAGCTGACAACATGCCTACCAACAGCTAGGAAGGAACAAATTTTGGTTCCAACTGATGGAGCCAAAAAAGAAAAAATTATAAAAGGAGAAAGAATGCTGCATATATACACTTCCTACATATAGGACATCTATACTTACTAGGAGTAGGTCCCACAAGCTCAGATTCTCTCTGTATGTACAACAGGGAGAGAGGGCAGAGTCCCCAGGAAGGCGACTCACACTGCCTAATACATCAGTTTAACAGCCGTTTTGGTGTGCTTGCACCTCAATGAACACGGAAGCACAGAGTTGTACAATGTTAGATGTATGTACTGAATCAAACCAGAATTTATTATTACAAGAAAATGATGGAAAAATAAACTGAGAGTAAGGACAAGGCTTTACCAGTTTGGTTTGGTGTTGCTGATGTGTTCCCTGTGCTTGATACAAGAAATAGTGACTGGATGAAGGACCCCAATGCATTCACAATATCACGGAAAACTTTAGTGGAATGTTGCTTCATATCATACGATTGACAAAAGGACCTAGAAAATATTTTATAAAACAGAAAGTATTGACAAATTGCAGACTAAAAGCATTTTTAACAGCAACTTCACCCATGCACACATTCTGTAGACTAAATGCATATTTTAATGGCAAATATTTAGGTAAACACTAATATTTAATTTTAGGTAAAAGGTCCTTTGACACTGGTAAGACAGAGAGGGTTTGGGATACTCAACTATAATACAGCCCTTCCTGGATAATAAGCACTGCATAATGCACATAAGATTATCATGAAGAGCTTATTGCATCTAAGTTTCTACAATTTTTACAATATTTAACACGTTTTAGGAAGCATTTCCTATTAGAGAAAAATAGAAATATTTTTAACATTTTATATGAAAGTGAAACTCAATATATTTAATACCTTAATAGCTGAGGCTGCACACAAAGCCTGTGAATAGATTCTACTGCAACAGCTCTTAGCCACTGTGGTTTGTCTGCATCCAGAAACTTAACCAGCAATGACAGAAAGATTTCACATTCTGTTACCTAAAAGATACAGTTTATAGTAATTAAATCAAAAGAAAATGCTCCTACAAAATATTTTCTAAAAAAACCTTCTCTTTCATCCTAGGAGTCCTATCACAGCAAGTTGTATACAGGATCTAAAAAATCCCTTGAACATGTATTTACTCAAAATGATATCAAAAAATACTTAATAATTATAATACTTTTAACAAGCTAAAACCACAGTATGCAATTGTACTGACAGAGTTAAATTCCTTACAGACATTGTAATAAAGGTCATACATTTGCTACAGTAAACGAATGAAACAGAAAAATGTCTTTTTTAACAAATATCTAAAATCTGGGAGGTAAGAACAGCTGAACATTTGTTTTTTACACACATTCTGTCAACAGCTTTAGCAACTCAAAAGCCTCTTATAAAGTATTAACAAGGCACAGTAATCATCACTATCTAAGGCCACGCAAACAACAGAAGATCAAGAGGTTCCCAAAACCTGAAAGGCAGTTAAGTACAGAAAAAACAACAGCTAATCTACTACGAAATTCATAAAAGTCCATGTTTAATAAAATCATACATTTAGAATATATGTTAAAAAAAATACACATAAGAGGAAGAGAATATTTAGATTTTTCTTCCCTCAGTATACGTCAACAGTTCCCAAGAACTAATCAATGCTATTACTGACCACAGTACTGGCAAATACATAGAAAACCAGAATTGTATAAAGAAAATTAGCATATTCTTACCAGCAAACTGTAAAACTGTTTAATCAAAACAGAAACTACTCTCAACAAACGCATACAGATGGGGAAGTATGGTTTTTCCACTGGTGCTGGGGAAGATGACGTGCTGGAACCTTGCCTGAATTTGATATTTGGGGAGAAGAGCTTTATAACTAGAGGGCATACCCTTTCTTTAAGAAGAAAACTGAATTCCTGATGCTGAAAAAGGAAACAGAACAAGTTATAAGCAGATATTCTTTAACTGCTACCCATAGTTCTCTGATTATGCATCTTATTAACATTTATTGTAAAGATCAAGCAGTCCAAAGTCATGTAAATCTTGGTATAAATTACATATCAGGAAATTAAAAGGGAGAATTGCAGACACCATTGTAAAACTACCAAAAAGTATGGTGAAATGACAATGGTCAGGTTTATACTATGCACCCTTCCTGTTCTATTTTGTAAGTTGAAATAGGCTGCTAATACACCACTTATTATGTATCTAATTTTTTATTTTAGCTACTATCTGCTAAAACATGTTACTGCAGGATCACAGTGTATTTACTTGTAGTAGATAAGTGCAATTTACAGACATGATTCTTTACACGTGTGGTAAGGTTAATGTTTTCGTAGAAATAACAACGCCTGAAGTTACAGAGCTGTCATTAGTCAGGCAAGATAAGAAAATGCATTTTTGGAGGAAATATAAATGGCAAAACAAAAAGTGAAACAGAGTAAAACATGCTCTACAAAATGCACACAAAGTGTTTGGGAATAGAAAAACATGGTCAAAAAAAATTGAGAACTTTCCTATTACAAAAAAAAAAAAATACATAAAAGCTACAAGTCCTTCTGAACAATAGTATTCATGCTAAACTAAAGAGGAGTTAATGAAGTGTAAATTTTACTACCTATGTGAACAAAAGTCTTTCTGTTTTCCCCCCAAGAACTACTCACTTGTAAAAACACTTGTGGAAAGTCATTGAGGACTGACTCAAGAAGTTCGAGGCCAAATGTCCGGGTCATTTCTGTCATACCCACAAGCCAGTAAGGAGCATCGGCATTAACTAACTGACAGAGATCCTTAGAAAAAAACACAGTAACATTTATAATCTCTGTACCATTCTGTGCCAGCAAAGTTTCCCGAGTGAATAACAAAATCTACACACTCTCCCTCTTTTGTAGTGAGTAATTTTCCAATTTCAAAATAATTTGTCCTCAAATATTTCTTTTACATAAATAATAAAGCAAAGAAAACTTTTAAAAGAAATTTTAAACTTTGCTGGTATCCTTGTAGGAATTGTGTTCACTCTTGTCCTCAAAAATATCTCACGACCAGTGAATTTACTAAGTCAAGAAGATTTTTATTGGTGTGATGAATACAACAACTACTTTTCATTATATACTTGCCTTTAATGTACAATACCAAGCACAAGAAACAGGACTCAACTGTAGTAGCACTATTTGGCTCACATAATTAAGAATCTTGAATTTAATGCAGACATGTATGCCTAGCTATTATTTAAGATTTATAGTAAAATGTTTTCCAAGGCCGCTATGATGATTTCCAATCATCCTCCCAACTACAGTAAATACACATAAGAGAGTTCAAGGCTCTGGTTAAGGACCTTGTCAATATGCCAACAGCAAATTTTTGAAATTTCTTAGAGATACAGAAGCACCAAATCTTAATTGCAAATATATAAATATATGCTCCCCAACTACCTGAAAAAGCATATATGCATCCTTAGCACATGGTTTCAGTGTACTGACAGATCTTCTGTTACTATTTCCTTGAACTGCAACTGGTTGGTCAATAATATCTGTCCAAAAAAAACCAAAACAAAGTTTTGTGAACAAAGGAACTGTTGAAAATCAAGTATGCAATCAGTGTTCTTACAAAAAGATTCAAAGAGAATGGCTAGGTAATTCTTCTCCAACTTATCATGTCTACAGAAACAAACACTAGATTGGCTACTAGAGATCAATACCAAGCACTTTTTTCCAATAAATGTTCTCTTCAAAACTACTACTGCTATGTATTTCACTCAGCAATCTAAGGTACCTCCATCTTAAATGACACCCTCACCTCAAATCTCTTCACAGTACTAACCTGAAGACCAGTTCTCACAGCTTAAAAAAAAATCTGGGTTTTTATATATTGCTATACTGACTTGACAGACACAATGTCTGATGACTTCATCTCCTTTAAATACAAGTAAAGGACAGTTGAAATTAACCATGTCTGTGATTTTTTTTTTTAAATAACATTTATAGACATTTTATTACTTCTTTATCTGAAAGAGAAACATCTGATGGATCAAAAAAACAGGTCAATAAAAGCAAGCTGAGTAGGTAGTATGCCCACCTTTATATCGTTCATCTTCAGCAACCACTCTCTCAAATACAACAGTAACCACCTGCCGCACTGTAGCTGCCGCGGTGTTATTTGTGATATTATCTTTTGTGAAGTGCAATCGAAAGCAAAGTACAATTGCCTGAAAGGAAAAAAAATAGGAAAAAAATCACCTTACAAGAATATATTTAATCTTTTAGCTAAGACACAAGACGGTTGATTGACTGAGGAATGCTTTCCACTACAGTTTGTCAAAAGGTTGCCTAAAAAAAGATAATTTTAATAATGTTAAATTTGAAGAACCAGAGTAAATTCTACAGATTACTCTAGCCAAAAAACTCTTTAGTAATTCTCCCCAAAGGTAATCTAAAAGTGGTATTAACTAAAGACATTACCATGTGTGAATCAAAGTACAATCATCACACCGATGATGACTTCCATCACACGTGGTAATCACATAGACAACTTGTATGAATAATAATGTCAAAAGGACATTAGAATTATAAGGTTAATCATAGAAAGGTCAGTCAACTCCAAACTAAAACGCCATTCATCTCCTACGTTAAATCACAATACTTTCACAATCATGTTGCCCTGACCGCTATTATTCCTCTCTGAGTCACACATTTTACCGTGTCATTGTGCTGGCAGTGACCTCAGTACTGCTTCCATTGGATTTCATTATTACCTCTAACTCACAGTTTAATACTTACATATTTTATAATGAATTTTGAAAATTAACATCTGTATGTGTAGTGAAACCTGTATTTCTTGTTATTCTGTCTTTATTCTGTGTTCTTGCAGTTGCAAGAACCTCAACCACACCTGGCTATAGCACTACATGCTCTAAGCCATACAAGAATTAGAATTTTCTTTTGCTTCTGTTTCCTGTATATTATTTGTGGACTGTGCTCAGATGTTATTCACACGTCAGTTTGAAATCTTACCACACAATCACATACTTCTGGACTTTCAGAAGACACTGCATGATTCTCTAGGTTAATCTAACAGCAGTGCCTGTATTAAGGGGCTTTTCAAGATGGTTTACCAGTAATTTTCTTAATTTAAATCAGTCAAGCTAAAACATGAATATGAGATACATGTCTGGCTCAAACCAATTTTCTAGAACATAATCTAGAAGAGGAACTTACCTTAAGCAGAGTTTCACAATTCACATATGAGTAAACAATGTTGCTTCTTCAAAAAAAAGTATCTTATAATTTAAATTAAAGTGGACTGGAATCCTTTTTTTTCGTTTTAGTTGAAATACAATATCCAAAATGGTTCTCATTTAAAATTATGCAGTAAAGTTATTTCAGTTATGACTGAAATAGCAATAACTGGACTGCTTTCAAAAGGGATTTAAGGCAGGGTGAAAGGCAGCTTCTTTTCACATTTGCTTTATTAGTGAGAGCTTACACTGTGCTATACGCTCTGATTTCAGTTCAAAAACATACAACAAATATAGCAGATGAGAATTAGCATTAGCTCAGTGTTTTTATTTCAAATTCCCATTAAGTCAGAAATGTATTAATGTGAAGGAATTACAAAACAGATTGAAAAAGAAGCTAAAAGAAATCCTGTTTTCAGAGTCTAGTCATAAAGACAATAGAGACACAACAGAATCAAGAAAGTCCCCTTCTCTTCCGTTATTTTCATACGCCACCTATGTAAAATTTCCCCGTTTTTCCTCTTGAGTATTTTAAGTGCTATAGTTGGCACTAACAAATTTTTACCTTGGACAGTGCTTCATCATGCACAACAGTATTGGTTGTTAAAAGTACAAGAACTGTCTGGAGCAATTTAAGTTCTTCAAGGCTGTTCTCCATCAATTGCCAAAGCATATTAATAATGTTTCCTGCTGCAGCCTACAAAGAAATAATTTTTTTCCAACAATTAAAAGTGTTTATATACTAGTATATCATGTGTAGATAGTTAAGAATATCACTGTCATAAAGACATAACGGAATGTTCCTGATTCTCTATACCATAGCACTACATTGAGAATATAAAGCCATTTTGTCACAAGCTTCCCAAAGTATTTTTAAAGAATTGACAGCAGAAATCTCTTAATGTGTAGTCCAAAGTGTGTACTACACTTTCTACTTGGAAATATAGCAGACACAGTAAAAAGATATTTTACCCTCAGAATTCATGCATATCAGAGAAAAACCAGTGTAACTTTACAATATGCAAGCACAACTGAAGGTATATTTTAACTGCATTATTTTCACCAGCTTCTTAACATGCTATGTATACATTATCATAATATATCATGACATTTACAGCTGCAGAAAATGTGCAACCATTTAACCTTATTTTTAAAAGTAAAATGTAACAAAACCATAATAATGTTACTGCACAGAGTATATTTTGTAGATGCACAAAGTTCATTACATCTTCAGTTCCTGCAGTGTAAGAATGCAAACTAAATGATCTGTTTTCAATTTTCATTAATTTCTGTCTAGAAGTTACTAATGTTTCCTTAGCTTTGTTTTAATGCTCTAAAAGGTTTTCTCTTAAATTACTGAAAAACAGATATGAGTAAAACGTCTTGCAGACTATGTTGATTATAATACAAACAGCCTCCTAAAACAACCCATTCACATTCAGTTTGAGGCCTGTATTTGCCACCCTGAAATATTTTTTTTATATAAAGACTGATCTTACCTCTGAAACAACTTCATGGGACATGAGCCTCTGTATGGCTGCTAGACACAACTGAGTGATCTTTGGTTCCTTTGTTCCACAACCCATGAGAAAAGGCTGAACTACTTCTGAGCTGTTCTCTTTCAATGCTTTCAAAAAGAGATTTGGAAGCAGTCAATGTTTAATACTTTGAAGAATACAATGCAAAATTTGTTAACTACACCTATTAATAAAAAGCAATCTCCAGTCTTGGAAATTTGGGATTTACATTCGCACCACAGGGAAAAGCCAAGTGAACACAGACACTGGGCTGACAGAGTTCACTTCCACAATTACCCTGGCTGAGGTTCAAATCCCAAGCAACTTCTCTCTTACACACTCAAGTGACTTCCTCTTTCCAAATTCAAAACATCCACTTAAGAGTCCCTTCAGTTAGCAAGAAGGTGTAAGGTTCTGCCAACCCCAGAGCTTTCTCAGGCCTTGCAGCAGGGTCCAGTCTTAGGCTGGTAGCATTTTCCTTCTGCTCTGCTTCACCTCAGCACCTAATGCAAAAGCAACAGTGTGGCACAGAGCAACATAACAAAGCACAAAGGAGAAGTGCAAACTGCCATTGACAAAACAGGAGGAGAAAGAGACTGGACTGTTTGTATCCTGCCTACATTCACCTGGCTGCGAATTTGTCAAATAGTGTTTTAGTGACAAAGGGTAGCTTCTTAAAATGAAGTTTTGCCAGGAGAAAGCACCACTTTCATGAACTTCTGTCCCCCCCACACCTTTTTTTTTGTTAAGGAGAAAAAGCTTCATAATGAATACAACATTCCACACTGACACTTAAAAAAAGTTTTTCCCCATAAAAGTAATTTGATAAATCTGATATAAACTTCATAAAATTTAAAAATATGAAAACATGAAAAATATTAAAAATATGAAAGGAAAGCATGACTCTGATTGATGAGTGGTTTTTCATTCACAGGCGTGGTTGTTGATTCATGCAAACTTTTAAGATTTTTTCTGCTCTTCACCATTACAGACACTAAAAATTTCCTCACAGTTGAAAGTTCAATGTGTATTCTTACGCTGAGTGTCATATACTGATTCAGTCTATATGTAATAGAAGAAATGTGTTCATGAAAAGTTCCACACATTTTTCTGAGCCCAAAACTTACCACAAACAAACAGAAAATACATTCTCACATAAAAATGCAAACATGATCTATACTATTAAGTATGATATTAAGTATCACTGCAACCCATTTGGAAAAAAAAGAAACATCAAGGTAAAAGCTACAAAAATATACTTTAGTGATAATTTCCAACTGAAACATGAAATAACATGACTCAGCAGTTTCTATGAAAAGACTTGGCTAGTATAAATGATAGATGCCAACTTCCTATAAGATAGGTCTTACAGGGTGATACCAACACATATACAGTCCGGTTTCATCAGCCTCTTCAGAGCCAGTAAGGCTCTATGTCCAGTTGACAGAGGCTGACCTTGCACCAAATATCTAATCAAAAACAATGACAATGTCAGTGTAAATGTGAATGAACACATAGGTTCACTGTCTTTTTAACAATCTGCTTTGATTTCAACAGGTTTTGTAACTTAACTATGAAACAAGTAAACCTGCTTTTAAAATACACAATATAAACCTTATCCTCCAATACCATTCTTTTATGATACGCTCCATGATACTCAAATTAAAAAAAAAAAAAAAAAAAAAAACCAACACAGAATTTTTTTCCCAAGACATGCAATTTAGGCATCTAATTAATTGTTAGTGTCTACATGTGAGCTACATGTCTAAGTTCCTTTTATAGTCTATGAACACCTATAATACAAGGCCAATAGAGCCTAGGTAGCTCACTAACATATGCACAAATGCTACTTCACTCATACAAATTTCAGAACTGCCACTAAATTCTAACCATCAAGCAAAAAAATGCAAGCAAAATTTTTCAAAAGATACCACAAAACACTTATTCTTAACATGAGACTCAAGATATAGTTCTGAATGGCAAAAATTGCATGAGTTAATAAATAACAAGACAAATAAAAATTTAAGCCTTTTACAGTATTTTTTCTATAATCTATTGAAAAATAATCTCACAACAGAATCTATACAATTAGTTTTACTTTATGAAGATAAAAAATTTATGTTTTGTAGATCTTGTTTGGTGCCAATCTAATTTGGTACCAACCAGGCATATGCTCTAATTCTTGTGGCTGTCCTGTGCAGGGACAGGAGTTGGACTTTGATGATCCTGGTGGGTCCCTTCCAACTCAGAATATTCTGTGATCATGTGATTCTGTGACTGTATTAGCTTCAGTCTTAAAATACACAAAAACGTTATTGTAGCCAGGTCTGCCTTCATTTGGCTACCAATTTAAGGTAGAATATTTTCAAAAATAAATCTATCTTACTAAACCATAATAAAAAAGAAGTTTTGGGAAAGTAAAATTCTTTCATTCCCTCAGCAACGTTATAATTCTGATTTTCTAGAAAAACTTCTAAAACCTAAGTTTTTGCACTTTTGAAAGCCATGTGGAAATAATTTCTCACATTTATCTCCTGTGAATTAAAGCACAAGTTTTCTCCTCCTTTAGAATTACTCAAATCCTCATAAAGAAATTATAAAGCATGCACAGACTGCCAAGAATGAACACTTTGAAACTGCTCAACTTTTTCAAGAGACAGAAAGAAGTTAGATTAAGGACACTGGATTTCTGGCAGGTTAAACACATCTCACCAGAAATAATAACGCTTTTTAAGATTCTAATAACGATTTTAAGACTGCATCTATTTTCCTAAAAATAATAATCCTACACAATGCAATGCTTCAAGAAGGTATTGGATCAGCTTATTCAAAACAATCTGCTAAAGCTGAAATGACTGTTTACATCAAAATATTAAAAAATTAATATCCTGATCAAAATATTTATTTGCATTAGTAGAAATTCTAGTAGATGTTCCTAAATCATCTAACAGACAAAAAGTATCCACCTCACTAGATTTCACAATTACAGTAGCATTTTGCAGCTTTATTATTACTAAGTATACATAGTACTACATAGTATTACAAAGTATACATACTATCTTCCTTCAAAAAGTTTTAAAGAGCAGATAGGAAACAATATCTTGGCATTAACTTATCTACAAGATCAGGTTACAACTGATACTTCAAAAAATACAAAAGTCCATAAAGAATTAAGACTGTGTAATGACATTATGTCTAAACTGTGGAATGTTAGGATAACATGCAGGCAAAGTACACTTTCTCAGTATGAAACTGCGGACAGAGGGGAACAGTTATTATCCTATTAGCAAAGATTAACTAATCAAAATAACTTTTAGGACCTGCTGGTTTTCCTAACCTCATAACAACAAATCTGTGTAGTGTTTTTGATTAACAAAACAAATACTGAGTACATTCTTGTTTAAACTTTCCAAACAAAAAGTACTTTAAAAATTTGACCAACTACCAGAAATTGTTCCCTCAAAGGATAAAAGTAAAGACTGTCTACCTATGCCTAAATTCAATGATCTTTCATGTCTCTTCATTTTGAAATGAAGATTAAAAACCAGAAAATTTTGCAGGATTACAAACTAGCTTTCTAAAATACCAGCTTCTTTACACATTAATATGCCAAAGAATGTTGACTGTGAAGCTTGTCAAATGGCTAACTAGAGCTTTCCCTCGTTCATTTGTGTATTTTGATATAGCTGACATTACCTGGCATAGTTTTCCCACTTATGTCAGCATTCATGACAGCAGTAAAAACAAAGAAAATAAACAAATAAAAAAGAGGCATTAAAGTGAAACACTGAGGAGTGGGACTGTTACTTCAAATAATTCTAGAAAATGCCTCCTTAACAATATTTAATTTACATACATCAAAACAAGATATGATTTTAGACCTGTATCATTGGACCTTCCAAATAATCTAGCATTTCAAGGATTTTGACTACAGCTGGGGTAAAGCACTCAAGTATTAATGCAGGGACATTCAAATCTGGCCGAAGACTTTACCAGCAATTGCCAAAAAGCCATCTATTGACATACTATTTCATAAAGCTTAAGACAGTCAGAGTTTGTGTTTTAAGCACTTACAAAGCTGCAACTCACAAGATATCTCCTGTCCCTCAAGGCATTGGTACATCTTAAATTGAATGACCTTGTCTCAGTTTAAGATGGATTTTTGCCTGCCAGTTACAAGTCCCCAAAGGCTGGACTCTCATAACAAATACACAGATGAGGATCACAGTGCAAAACTCCACACAAAGCACTCAACAACAGTTGTGGTGAACAAAGACAGTGACTAAAACACTGAGAATTTGGGGTCTAAATATTTCATGTTATTTTTCTAAGTGGATGATTAATTTTGTAGAGCATCAGGTAAAAACGGAGCCCTTCCTCAGCAACAGTATAGCATGAACATGAAACAGAAGTAGTATTAAAAAACTTTTATGCTAGGATTTTTTGCTAGGTGCCCAAAACTAAAGCATCACTGATATAGCACATACTAAAAAGACATGTAGTATTATTAGACATATCCGAGACATCTTTTTAACATTTTGATCTGCAACTCTGCTTTATTTTTCCCCATTGTACTGCAAATAATTACCTGCCAAAATATCAGTGTTGCGTGCAGCTATTGTTTTCACTTTTATTATTCCTGATTCAGCAGCCTAGAAGAGAAGAAAATAAGTAGTTTAGATGCATTATATGTCATACATCAATATCTGCAAAGAAATAAGAATACTGTAGAGAAATAAAAAGGTATTGTCTCAGAGCATAAAACGTTTTTGTAGTGCTTTCAGTAAGCAGAGCTAATGCAGAAGTGAAATCTTTGTAGCTGCTGGAATTCCTTTCCAGAATTCCATGGGAAGGGTTATATTCAGAATTTTTATAAATCATGATTCTCCTTGTGTTACTTTCCAGTCCTATGAATGCAAAGGAAAATCACTGGTAAGCATAAACACTGTTACATAGTCTCTGTAGCATTTCAAACAAACTGTGAGTATAAAAATGAAACCCACTTTTCCACGGATTTTGTCTCCCAAATGCACTATACAAATTATCCCTGGACGGTAGCATGAAGATGGCTTTCTAACAATACTCTGTTCTCCCCAGCATGCCATACAGTCCACACCAGCAGTTCCTCCCCTTTCCCCATAAGTACGATCTGACAGACTCACAGCGTTCCCCCCTCCCTCACGCACATCTCCAGTGGAACGGGGCCCACACGCACGCAGGGTGGGGGGCGCACAGGCACAGCCTGGCTGGATGACAACCAGGTGCTGCAGGGCTGCACAGCCCACCGAGGACATCACACACTGCTGCCAGGGAACAGCAGCGCTCTCTTCAATTATCTGCAAATGCTTCCCTGCATAAGTCACTGAAGTCCTGTTCTCTAATGAAATCAGGCCAAACTGAAAATATAACATTGAGGCTGTGCATTCCAAAACTATGATTTCTGACAAGTTTTGCGTACAAAACACAAAAATGCATTGTACGTGGTGCCTTTCCATTTTTTTAATTCTGTTAACACACTACAAGCGTCTGGAAACAATTAAATAAATGACAATAAATGCAATAGGTTTTCCCAAATGATAGGATGCAAATTGCTGGAAAATACTGTTCTGCCAAATTTGAAAGAACACTTCCCCTTTTATTTCAGCTTCATATTCCTGTGCACTTTCCACACTAAATATTTCTATTTTTCCTCTGATTTAAAGATGTGCGCTGTCACTACACAAAACAGATTAGAGAAGCAGACGAGCTGTGGCAGTAGAAACATGAAAGTGACAGTTCTACCAAGTATTAATATTCCCTCTCCATCAAAAGACTTTTCCAACAAGATTTCCCAGAAAGTCAGGTTAAGGTGACTGTATAAATTCATAGTCAAATATTTTGAGTTGATATACATATTTCTCAAAATAGCTAAATGAGAAATGTGGAGCTGAAATTTTCAACTTTTTTTTTTTAATTTCCCAAAACAACATAGAAAAACTAAACACTGCCTTAATATCATTTAAGAGAGAAAGAAATTCTGGAGAGTTATTTAAGTTTTCCTGAACACAGTGCTTCTACTTCAAAACCAAAGACAATATTATCCGAAGTGTTTGGTTAACATACAACATGCTCAAATGAGCACAAAACAAGATACACATATATATTTTGCATAATTAAAATGAGGAGATGAAGAGTGCCAAACGTAGCTCTCATCTATTTTAATTACATTAACTTAATGTGTTGAAGTTCTTGAGTTTTAAGTCAATTTCTATTCCTCTTCATTTATAAATTGTCAGCTAATTGGGGGGGGGTTTGTCACAACAAATCGTTTCTATTAATTAAGATGAAGGATTTGTCACAGTCCAATTTCAACTACCTTCAAACTAAAACTCATCACATCTACTGGCAATTGATTTCTTTATTGCCAGGAGTGACAAACTGAATCATTCTGATTCAAAGAAATATTAAGCCTGCTCATGAGTGGCAACCATGAATACCATGCACTTGGCACAAAAAAGGAAAAAATTATTTCCAATAAGTCTTTCAGTTGTTTCCATGCTCGCTTTATATAAGAGAGTATATATTTTTTTTAAAAAATAAGGTCAAACAAAACAACAGTTATTAGACTTTTTACTACCTCTCTGAATAAAACCATTTTTCTCCATGAGATACAGGAAGTTCTATGATTATCTGCATTATGCTATGGTTTCTATTCAGAATCCCAAATAAAAATGTTTACAGTTAAAAGCTAATTACACTGCACACATCCTACAAAAGAAAAATAACATACATACTCCACTGTATATGTAAAAGAGACAACACACTAACACAAAAAAATTACCTCAGTTGATCACAAATAACCAATAGAAAAAATGAGACCATAAACAGTCATCTGTCTATTCTGTATACATGAATGTAGAAGTGTGTTTGGATTGCATTAATTTAACTGGCAAATTAAAACATATATAAGAGATTTTAAGCTTACACATTTACATCAAATACTATAGCACTCTGTAGGACACTGCCCCATTAGAAAAAGATCTTATAAAACACGACAACCAGCATCATATTGTGTATTTATGGGTACAAATATGATAATATGATAAATATGGTATTTACATTCACATTAATATAAGGTACCATGTTTTTAAAGCAGTCACCACTCTTAGATGTAATATTATCAGCTTCCCTTAGCACTGCATTTAATGATGAGCAAGGCAGTTGTCCTTTATTTTTAAAAGAGGCAAATACATGTAATTCCTGTAACAAAACAAAGCTTGAGTGTACCTAAAACCTTCAGTCAACTAGACTTCCTATTCTGCTGGTTTAATAACTGTGAAATGAACGCATATAAAATGCCTCAAACACACACTTCCCATTACTGACTTTTGGTTCATGTTTCTGCTGAAGCAACTTCAGCACCCAGTTTGGGGAGGGAAACATTGATGAAGAACAGAAATTGACTCTCAGTGATAGCACATATTCAAGTCATTCTCTTCTGGTACTTTAATTTGGTTTTAATCAAACAGCCAATAATCTCACAGCAAAATTTAACAGGACCCTCTGGGCTCAAACACTTGCCTCATCATCTTTCTCCTTCCTTGGAATTTACCAAATATTTGCTGATTATACAAGGAGCAGAGTGATAAGTGCATTTGAAAGGCACCAATTCTTCAAATCTATCTTCTGGGGACACTGTGGGAGTTTGCAAACCCAACTGCAGTGGGCAGTCTGCATTACCAAAATGGTATCACTGTAGCTAACTCCATGATCATAATGATGTTACTTGGCAGCCCAAGAATGAGACTTGTCCTGGCAGCACAAGGAATAATGGCATAGCATATGCTTGAACATTTAACTCTCCCAGGCCAAGACATCTTGCAATGCATATGTACAGGCAAGCAAGGTACCAGAGGGATCAGATGGGATGGGATCCGGCAGTACATCAGTTGCTTCACAGTAATTCCTATGGATTTGTCCTTATCCTGGAGTATACATGAAAGAGCTACCCTTCCTTCACTGAAAAATAATAACATAGTTAAAAAGTTTTTCTAAGGGAACAACGACAGAAAATTTGAATCTAAAGTGAAAAAAGTCAGTAGCTTTTTTATTTTGTTAACCAAAAAATATATATTACCATAAAGATATTTTATGCAACAACCAGGCATGTGCTAATTTCTACTAAGAACTGATCTAACGTTAAAGATATTTTTGCATGAACTTCTAAATTCGATAGCACTGTTACCGAAAGTTAATAAAACCAAGAATTTCCACTGCTAGTGCTTTTGAATGATCGTTTGTGTTTTGGTTGTACATTAGAGCAAATTGGAGAAGATCTCCAGAGACACTAAAATTGCTGTAAGGTTTGCAGTTCTTACTACACAAGCTATTGATTTCTCTGTTCTAAAAAGAAAAGCATTCAGGAACGATAGTTTGCGTTGGTACTTACATTAAACTGTTTGCCAACCTTTAACTAAGACTAGATGAGAGTAATATATATTCTCTGTGCTCATTTCATAACTATTACATGAAATAAAAAGAGAATTTTTTTCTATCCATCATTATCTGCCTTTCCAACTAGAACACTAACCCTATATCCAACAGTTTAGATAAGATATCATCCGGTCTAAAGTACAGTTTCACTTCACTGTTATTCTGGCTTGCTTTGCAAAAGCACATTCTGGACCATTACTGTACCGTTAAACTATTATTTGGAAATGGACACACTCACAAAAAGCTTCTCACTAAACCAGCCTCATGAAAGCACTCAAGTATACCACATTTGTTTGAAAAAGCACTGTAGTTGCCTTCTGTATTTTTATCTTCCTCCCCAGGAGTACAAACCCTACTCTGACTCTCCTTTCTTCTATATGCTCATTCTACCTGTGATTTAAACTGGTGAATTGCCAGTTTTGATCTGACATTGCTGTGCACTCACAGGGGTTTATTATAGTGAATGATTTATTATCATTATATTAGAAAAATTATCATATAGAAAAAAATGAAAGCATTAACTGATTCTATTACACACTTTCTTCTCCAATTGAAGATTTACAATACTGCAGTTTGTGGTTTTTGTTTTTTAAAAACACACAACCTTGTTCACTTTCAGCTTTAGTACAACTGTATTAGCTGCTCTCATATTTAGAGTGCTCTTTCACTTGACAGAAGTGACTACTCCTCTGGCCCACTGATCTTCCGAAATTGTCAGTCTGGAGTACCAGCAGCCAATTCAGAATCCTGAAGGTTAACCACCAATAATGCCAGGAAAGGTGCCAGTGTTATCTAAAGTGCTTCAGAGCTGTTGCCTCTGGAGCTACCTCACTTGACGTGAACATGAAGATAATCAAATACAAATATTTAATATTACAAGTTTTCATTGCACAATCAAAATGCTACACCTCAGCTGGAAAAACCATCACACATAAATTAAAAGAAGAAATCAGAATGCATAACAAATTAACATAATTAAAATAACATAAAACAACTCATTACTGAACAGCACTAATGTAGACAGAAAGACAAAAAAGCTAACCAAGACTTGACACAGAAGAAACACAGCCACCTAGCAACAAATTCTTAAGTTATACTTCTCTCTTCCACAGACAGATAGAATAAGGATGTACCCCATATTTTGTATTATAGTCTATATAAATTATACATATATTTTTAA